TCTGTAAAAAGTTGGTAAATAGCAACAATAATTTGTTTTAAAATTGTTTAAATATTAATTCAATTTTTACTCTTTATTTGTGATCATATAAGGTTTAGTAAATTGCAAAATTAGGAAAAAACTGCAACTTTCTAGGTGTATTCTGTAAAAAGTTGGTAAATAACAACAATAATTTGTTTAAATAATTTTTTACTAATATTTATGATTCATTTCAATAAATATTTTCTTTAATTTATTGATTTAATACTAAGTAACGTTAAAAAAAGAAAAGTTTTCAAAAATTTTCTAATCTCTTTGTTTATTTGAAAATTATATGTTTTTGCAATAACAAATTTTTTAAACAATTGCAATATGCATAAAACCTTTATTAAAATACAGCAATTGTATTAACACATAGTTATTTACAAAAAGTTTGATGAATTTTAATCGTTTTTGGAATATAAAAGTAAAAAAGCGTTTGGCCACCCCGGGTGGCCATCCGGTAGCCCGCGTATACAAAAATCTTTGGTAGCGCGAAGGTTAATATAAAAATTAAAATTCTTTTGAAGGATTCAATTATATTTATAAATAATACAATTTTTTGTATGGAATTCAATTATTTTCATAAAAATTAAAGCTCATTGTACAATTTCGGTTATGTTTAATTTTAATACAATTTAAAACAAATTCCTCCAAAAATGCAATTATTCTGGAAAAAATTCTGGAAAATTTTATTAAAATTCACCAAAAAATTCAATATTATTTAAAAAAAATTTTTTTAAATTCTGTATATGAATTTAATTTTAAGAAATATTCAATTATTTAATAAATTATTTCTTTTTGTATTTAAAAAATTGAATTCTCGTAGAGTTGTCTAACAAAAATTTATTTAAAAATAAATTTCAGTTAAAGTTTTAGATAATTGTTTTCTCATTTTTATTTCGTGAGTGAATTTGTTTTATTAAAGCCAAATGAATAAAATACCAATGAAATTCCATTTAGGTAATCATTTACAAAAATAATTATTTTCTAATTCCACAATAAAATACCAAAGAAATACCATTGAGGTAATCATTTATAAATATATGATTATTTTCTAATTCTACAATTTCTTCAATATCAAAATTTTGATAACTATTCACAAGCGGCAGAGTAATTGAATAATAATAATAACAAGAAAAATAATAATGATAACGGTAAAAAGTAAACGGTAAAAAAGGAGTAAATATAAAAATTTTCAGCGATTCGTGAGAGATTTGAAAATATGAAAAAAGAGAAAAGTATTGTAATGGAAAAAATGGAATTTTCTCTTTGGCGTGAATAGACCGCTTGAATGATGAATCTGTATGGGCCTTTGAATTAGGTTCATCATTACCGAGAATCCGCTGCAAAGCGTCAATGAATGCTTTTTGAATGATAAACGTCAAACGTGACGAGAAAACGAAGCAGAGAGAGAGAGAGAGAGAGAAACGTCGTTTACAACCAAAGCAATAATTACTATACTAGGTCCTTCAATTTTTATTATTTTTTATTTTTCTACTATTTGTTATACAGTTATTTATTATTTATAAGTCCTTCCTTTCCCAAAATAATCCCCCTCTATAAATTACAGAAAATATTCGAGGGCTATATTTTTATTACATTTAATTAAAACTAACAAGTACTTCCTGATTTAACGATCCTCAAGGTCTCAAAAATACGTTTTTCGAAACTCGATGTCATTTGCAATCTTTTTTTTCGTTTTTTTTTTATTATAACTCCAGAATCATTCAAAGAGGAAAATTTTTTCTTCGAACCTATCAGTGTCGAAATATTTACGAACAAATATTTACAAACAATTTGAATGCAAAAACATATCGTGAATGTATTATATGAAAAAACGATAATCCAATGTGGAAAAATTTGTCAACGGGAATATTTTGATTAGACTTATCTCAATCGTCATATTTATATGGAGATTAATTCCAATAGAGGACTAATACTTGAACACTAAGCAGATGCAGCAGTTTCGGTTTATTTTATTCGGCTAACGGTGAATTTAAAGCGAGAGCGAGAAAGAACGTGCGATTATAATGTGATTAATGAAGCAGTCAATCATCCGTTTATTGAGCAGTGACCAATATCGTCCAACACGCGAGAAAATAATAGCAGTTTGCGTGTAGGAGGAAAAGAACGATCACAATAATAGACTTATCGTGCAATTTTTTAATTAAAATGCCTTTCGTGTTAATAGTGCGATGCGATTTCAATTAGTTTTTTTTTTTTTTTTTTTTTTTTTTTTTTGTAAATTTTTTCAAATCTTGTACTTTTTAGAATTTTAAGCATTATGTTTTTCTTCTTATGCAACAAATTTTATTAAATTGCAAACTTTTTCCGTCTCGCAAGAAGCGAACTAGGTTCGTAAATCCCGTAAAGGTCCGTCAATTTGCTCCGTCAATTGAAATTCAATTATTTTCAAAAGTAATAAAATTCTTCACAGAAATTCAATTATGTTAAAAAAATTTTTTAAAGTCTCGTCAAAATTTCAATCTTCTTTATGAATAAGAAAATTGTTCTCCGAAATTCAGTTATTTTCTAAAATTTCAATAAAATTCTTGTCAAAAATTCAATTATTTTCAAAAATTTCAATAAAATTCTTGGCATAATTTCAATTATTTTCAAAATTTTTCCTTAATTCAATTTCAATATCTACTATTTTAATAAAATTTTCGAAAAAAATAAATTTATTTTTAATACCATTGCGTTAAATGCAATTTTACAGATTTTTGGGACCCCTTCCCTAAATTGGTAACGTAGTTTATGGATGGCCCCTTATTCTTAAAAATTTTTAAATTCTTCGAAAGATTTCAATTATTTTAATAAATATTAAAATTCTTCACAGAAATTCAATTATTTTCATAAATACATATTACAATTTTTTTAAGAGATTTAATTATGTTTATAAATAATAAAATTCTTCCTGGAAATTCAATTTTCAGGAATTTTAATAAAATTCTTCGCAAAATTATGTTCATAAATAATAAAATTCTTCCTACAAATTTAATTTTCAGGAATTTTAATAAAATTCTTTGCAAAATTCAATTATTTTCATGATTAACAATATTCATCACAAGAATTCTATTATTTTTAAAAGCAATAAAAGTTTTAGCTGAAATTCAATTATTTTCAAAAATTTTAATCAAATTCTTTTCAAAATTTCAATTATTTTCAAAAAATTTTCTCAATGCAATGACTATCTACTATTTTAATAAAATTTCCTAAAAGAATTTAATTATTCTTAAAATTTTTATTAAAATTCATTGAAAGGATTCAATTATTTTCAAAAATAATATAATTCTTCGCAGAAATTGAATTATGTTAAAAAATTTACAAAAATTCTCGTTAAAATTTCAATTATTTTTATAAATAATAAAATTTTTCAAGAATTCAATTATTTAAAATTTTTTCCACAAAAATCTTTATAGGAATTCAATTTTAAAAAAACAATCAATTATTTAATTAATAATTAAGTTTTGAATTCAATTATTTTCAATAATTTTTCTCAATTTAATGATTATTTACTATTTTAAAAAAATTTCTATTTTCATAAATAATAAAACTCAAGGCAGAATTTCAATTATTTTTAAAACAATTTTAATTAAATTCCTCGAAAAATGTAATTATTTTTAAAAAATTTATTAAAATTCGTCGAAAGAATTCAATTATTTAAAAATTTGTATATAAAATTCTTCATAAGAAATCAATTTTAAAAAACATTTAATAAATTATTTGTTTTTGTCTTTAAATAATTGAATTCTCATAGAATTTTCTAATGAAAATTGATTTAAAAACGAATTTTACCTAAAATTTTATATAATAATTGATTATTAAAAGCATTATAGCATGAATTTTTTTTAGAAATAATTGAATTTTGAAAAGTTTTCAAATTAATATATGTTTTATGAAAATAGATTTTTTCTAAGTATAAAAGTGAGATAAATACCTTATAAAGATACAAGAAGTTTTGATTCTGTGTTTACAACTTTACAATACAATTTTTCTTTTCCTTACATGAAGAAACTTAATTCAGAGTTTTAAGTAAAATTTTTTCTTAGTTGACTCGGAATGGTTATAATTATTTTTGTCAGTATACCGCAATTAAATTTTAATTTTTGGTCCGTAAAAGTCCGTATTTTTAAATACTTTCACAGATTCAAGCCCTGGTCTCTGAAGTTAGCGTCGACACTCATCGGTGTCGAAAACTGTTATTTAAAATAATAAATTTTTATTTTTAGAGCCAAAAATGTCGCTAAACTTCTATTATTCACCTTGGGAGTTAAAAAAACGTTCGGAACTCCAAAAACCAAAGAAATAATTCTATTCCTTATTTTGATTTCGGAAAAGAAAATTTCGACCGATTTCGACACTGAGAGTCATGGACCTAAACACTTCAAGGACCTAAACTTTTTAGTATTTCGACCTTTATATTTATTCGATCTAGAAACAATAATAATACTTAAAATAAAACAAATTGGAGACTAATTATAATGCTAACTCTAATGTTAAATCTAATAACAAGTTTTGTGATAATATTTAGATGAAAATAGTCGCACAAATTAGTCTTCATTATTTACTCATGAAGTCAACATTTGAGAGAGAACTGTCAATATTTCTCCACGCAAAATTAGTCAATATTATCGAATGAATGTCAAACAATATTTCCCTTCGAAAATTACAGTCAATATTCAACAATAAGAGCAAATTTGATATTCTCGATGTAGAGAATGTCATTAGATAGAGTATAATTGATGTTATAGGCATGGCAGACGAAAAAAGATTCCGGTGAAATTTCTTGTTGCAATTTAAGTCTCTCTTTTGCATTTTTGACCTTTGGTGCTTAAGTACTTTTGCCACAATTTACAAGTCTCTGTCTGATGTTGGTACACACTCGCCAGAGACTAGAGACTAGAGACTACTTTATGAGGTAAATGTTGCCTCTCTCGTAAACACCAAAGTCACGATGAAATCTTTGCTTGTTACAGGAGGCTTGAAGCACGGAAACGGGGGTATTGGCAGTGCGAGCAGTTCGAGAAGTACAAGTCCAAGTCAACAGCAACCACCACAAAGCGTACTTTCCTTTATTCCACAGCCAAGAAGTCAAAACTCAACCAACAGACAACCAGCAGCCACTACCCCGAGGTAAGAACAATATTTATCTAGTGCTCTCACTGTGACTGATTGTCAGCTCCCCTCTCTCGATCCTTGTATAAACCTATAAATCCATCAACCCGCACCTTCCAAATATACTTTGAGACACTTTTCCCCGACTTGCTTTATTCACCACCAGTGCTTCAAAAATCGAAGTAGCGAAAAAGCGTCTTGCAAGAATAACGATTCAACTCTGATCCACTCTAGTTGAAAATAGAGTAATGTTGAAAATTTTTTTTTAACTTTAGTTGGATGAAAATAAATTAAAAATAATAATTACCTTACAGTTTTTAAATTTTATACTAACGGAAATGTAATTTTTCAGCCCTCGGACATCGACAGTGGGCCGTCCAATTGGCTTACGAGCCCCGCAGCAATCGCCTTACGCAACGCCAACACCTCCAGTTCAACAGAACAAAAATTCAGTTCTCGATAAATTCAAACTCTTCAACAACAAGGACAAAAATCAAGATCGCTCGAAACAAACGTCCTCAGGCGTCTCGAAACGAACCTCCAGCTCCTCAGGCTTCTCATCGGCACGTTCGGAGCACTCGGACAGCTCAACGTCACTCTGCGATCAAACTAAAGCACAATTAGAAGCGCCAAAATCAAAAAATCTCAAATCAAAACTCCAGGCAAAACCCTCGAAGCAAGTGAGTCCAAAATCGGCTCGCAAGGAACAAGCCAAGGCCCAGACGAAAATCGGCCGAACGAAAGCCTCCGAAAAACTCCTCTACAATCCCCCCATCGAGGATGTCAAGACGAACAGCAAAATTGCCAATATCGGCGCCAAACTCAGTGGCGAGAAACGTGTCTCTATCGATCTTCTAAAGCAACCTTCGTCACTCACCCAAAAAGCATCCCTCCCACCACCAAAGCAAATACCTCAGGAAACAAAGTGCCAACCAGCCGCTAAAATCGAACCAAAATCCATTCAAAAACCGAAAATGGAATTCCCCGCCAAAATGCATCTCAAATCACCAATTAACGGTTTAAACAAGGACATTATCATGCAAAAGGATCTCGTCACAAATTCAGATGCTATCAAAGACGAACGCGAATTGAAAGAGAAGGCGATGAATCAGACAAATCAGAGTTTATCCGCGGAGAAAGAGATGACAAAAGACAAACCAATTTCAAACCAAACTAACGATCTGATAATAGAGAAGAATGAATTGAAATCAACAATGGAAAATAAAAGTAATTCCGAATACAAAGCAATCAATCCAGACGAGATGCCTGTTCAAATTCAAATTCCCAATAGTCCATTGAATAAACACGTTCTAAACAGCCCTCCACCTTCTACTCATCCTTCGAGTACGAATTTAGCGCCGGGAATTAGTCCAGGCTCGAGCATACCAAAACCCACGGCACTAGTGAAAGGAACCTCGAAACCGCCGAAGGAGAATAATGTGCCGAACATTCCAACGCCGACAAAACACAAAAGCGATACGCTACACCGGAAACTCGATCCAAATACGGTAGCAATGGTCTCGCCAATGCCCAGCATCTCTGATCTTATGTCGGAAAGTTCGCACAGCAATTCCAATAGTACTGGGCAAAGTAATTCGAGTGATGGGAGCGTTATTTACAGACCTAGCAGCGAGAGTGGAAGTGAAATTAAAACCATTCCGAATAGAAAGATTGAGACGACCTTTGAGCAAATGGAGAAGGTCAGTGACACTGTCAAGAGCGGTGTAATGTTTTTGTTATGGCGATTTTACTTCTTTTTTTCTTTTTTTTATTAGAGCTATCGATCTTATTTGTAATTATATAGTTGAGGCAAAAGGTGTAATTAGATGAAGAGGGAGGATCTCTCATGCGCGTCTCAGTCGCGTGTTGATTTTGCGCTTCCTATACAGTTTGTCTCGAACGATTAATTAGATGATATAGGAAAACTGTAATTAGTTTATCAATTTACACATCATAATCTTTCACGTTGGATTTCAAGCTTCATTTTTTTTCAAGACTTGCAAAAATTTATTATTTTAGGCTTCGCACTCATCTACTAAAACCTATTATTTACTACCTTTTTTTAAAATTTGCTACAATTTGGATACTTTTTTAGATTTATGACACAAAAAGCTACTTTTTTTCTATGTTTGAGAATTTACACTACTTTAAATTCGTTAACGAAAAAAAAAGCTTATTCTCAAAAATTTTAATAATATTCTTAAATAAATATTAAATTTTATAAAAGTAGGTTTTTACAATTTGGAAAGAAAATGTGATAAAGAAGAATTTTGTTACTAAAAATACTAAAATTTAGAAAAAAAGTTGTCAAATTTAGTATAATTATAAATTATAACAAATATCAAAAAACATAATCAAGTTTTACTATAATTTTACTAAATTTACAAAAAGTTTTTTCAAGTCTTAGTATTTTTCATATAAAAACTTCGGTTTTTCATTTTATCATATATGTTTTTTTAAAAAGCCACTAAAAACTGCGAAAAATTAAAAAAGGACAGTACGAAAAATACTAATAAAATAATAATTTTAATTATTATTATAGTAATAATACTAAATAATATTTATAAATAAACATTCTATAATTTATATGACATTTTGTTAATATATATTGTTAATAATAACCACGAAGAAAATACAAAATAAAAACAAAAGTAAAATTCAAATTTTTAATTTATTCCAAGTTATTTTCTATAATTGTAATTTATGGAATTATGAATGTTTACTATTATTATTAATTATTATTAATTACTATTATTATTATTTAATAACAATAACAATAATTAAATTAGTCTTATAATTGTTATAAATAATTATAAAAATAATAAAATAATAATAATAAATTGTTCAAAACAAAACAAAATATTTTGAAAGATTAGTAATTATTCAAAATTTATTTATTTATAACAATATCAGTGACTAACATCGGAAAAATTAAAAAAAAATAAATTTTATATATTTTTCTGCTTTTTGTACTATTGTCAATTTTTAAAATATTGAAATAGTAAAAAAAAAGAAAATAGAAAATAATAAATACTAACAATAATTATTAAATATATGTAGGTAATGAATTGTAATTTACATTTCTTAGTGGTTCCTATATTTATTTTCGGTTATTATTCAAAATCTAAAATTAAGAAATTTTTTTAGACAGTAAATTAAAGTATTACATATACCTAGAATTATACTAAATTTCACATAAGTTTTTTTAAAGTTTAGTATTTTTTAATAAAAATTACGCATTTTTTCTCCCAAATTATAAAATACTTTTAGGTACATAATTTAATAAATATTCTCTCTCCGTGTAAGTTTTGTATACTTGTAAAAAATTATAGACAGAAAAATAATTTATTTGATTCAAATAACCGATTACTTGTCTATCATTAAATATTCATTTACTTAAATTAAATAATTTTTTATTCAAATCAATTAAATCGTATTTGTTTTAAATACTAAAATTATTGATTCAAATCCAATTTACACAAGGAAAGAAAATAAATAAATTTTTAAAAATTATTTCCCAATTTGGGAAGAAAAATCCCAAAGAAAAAGTTTTTATATCAAAAATACTGAAATTGAGAAAATTTTTTGTGAAATTTAGTATAATTTTACTAAATTTCCCACAAGTTTTTTGAAATTTTAATATTTTTCACAATAAAAATTTTGGCTTGTATTTTCTTCTCAAAGCAAATTGTAAAAGAATTTTTTTAAAATATAATATTTATTTTCTTTTCATATACAGTCGACTCTCGATAAAATTGAATCTTATATAATATAAGAAATAGAAAAAAAATTGAAATCATCGAGGTTTTTATTTATTGAATATTTTAAGTATCAAAAATTTCTTAATGAGCCAAAAAAACAAATTCAATTTATTGAAAAATTCTATTTATCAAAACTTTAACTTTCGAAAATTGGCTATACTTGATTCAAATAAAAATTATTTGATTTAAATAAACATTTATTTAGATATGTAGACAAGTAATCGATTATTTAAGTCAAAAAAAATTTATTTTTTATTGTAAATTAAAATTGGATATTTGGCTTATTTTCAAAAATAATAATTTAAATAATAAATAATCGTCAAAACACAATTCAAATCTGTAATACACCGGAAAAGTTTTTAACGAGTAATCGAAAAACTTAGGTTTCAATTTTTATTTTTCATTTTATTATAAATTTCTTAAAAGTACCTAAATAATTAATAATTATTATTTTAAATTATTTTTAAGCAATTGAATTGTCATTAGTGCAAAAGATAGTTTTAAATAGTTAAAAAAAAATTTTTTTTTAATATTGAATTTTGCTTTCACATATAGAGCAAGGATTGATCTGTTTTTTGTAAAAGAAAAAATGATATGATTTTTGCACAATTGTCTGGTCTGTATGAAATTATTAAAAATTTAATTAATCTATTTGAAGAATCGTGATATTAAAAGACTCAGAATATATATTTAAATCGCAAAAATATGTAAATTTCTTCTTTGAATTATTAATCCTTGAACAAAACATGATATAATACAGGGTTAATAAATAATAGTCGGGTTAAATTTTCGTTTTCACTTTAATATGCTTTTAAATTCAAATTAACATTAATACTAATTTAACTGTTTTATTTAAAATTAAATTAATTTAAAATTCGATTAATTTTTAATGATAAAAATTTAATTTATTAAAAAGTAGATAAATTTTAAATCAGATATTATTTTTTAATTTACTTTAAATTAATCCTTTAAATGTTTAAATTAATAACTCAAATCTGTGTTAAATAAGAAACTTTTCTTAAGATGACAAATTTACTTTTCTATTTCAAAAGAAGCGAATAAAAGCAACCGAAAATGTAATTAATCCGTCTCAATATAAGTAGATAATTATTTCGATTTAACTTAAATGAGGGTAATTAAATTCAATTGCTTAATTTCTCCAGTTAAAAAATAGTCTCACTAAATTAATATCCGTTTTGTTCAACTGGAAAAATGAAGTTCATTAATTGTCTTCTAATTAATTTTCAAGAAAAAAAATAGCTCATTTCAAAGATAACATGAAAGATTTATTAAGTGCACATATGTAATACTTTTATTTAGTTTTTCCTGCGATGAAAGTAAAAAAAAATATAATAAAATAAAAATAAATGAAATTTATACAAATAAAATTATTTTGCAATAATAAAAATAAAAAATTGTAAAATTTTTTTAGGTAAAAAATAAAAATTAATGGATAAAATTATTCTGCAGTGTTCAAATTTTTGTAACGAAAAAAATTGATGTAATTGAAAGATTTTGATGTGTAATTTTAGCAAGAACTAATTTTAACAACATTATCTTATTTACTAAAAAAATTTCGATATTTTTGGCTCAAATTGAAGCTCAAACAAACGACAAGAATCATTTGTTTTCTTTTAGCAAAATTATAAACAATTTTTAAACTAAGAAACATAAACGTAGAAGAAATTCGTTTTCTTAGACAATTGAGATTCTTTACAGAAAAAGGATCAAGAAGATTTAAAATTTCGTTCGACATTAATTGAATAATATTCAACAATATTATAAACAATTTTCAAATTGTTTATAACTAAAAAAAATTACGATCGAGGAAAAGTTTTGTATTTTCTAAATTCATTTTGAATATACAAAAATCCATTTGGCGAAGGAAGAAAGAATTTTTCCCACAATTGTGTTATTTCGTTTGCAAATTGTTAATAAAAATTGTTTAATACAACATTGTTGAACATTTTTTAATTAATGTTATGGATAAAACTTTGTATCTTCTCAATCCAGTTTGAGTTAAGAAATAAAATCTAAAGTTTTTTTAGGGATAAAAAAATGAATTTTTGCTACGTTTATGTAAAATCCGTACAATGAGTGGCCCCTTAAGAAAATGTTTGGTTTATCTCATTGCCAAATTAGCAGCCAAACATTTATTTATAAAGCACAAAGTAAAAGCAATTTTATTTTATTTTTAAAGTTAAGAATGAGACAAAAGTAGAAAATTGTAAATAAAAAACATTTAAATAAAAGAATTATATTGTAGAAAAATATAATGATTGGCCCTAAAGACACAATTATTGGCCTCTAAAATATTTCATACACAGTTTCGAAACGCGGAAATGTATAATTAAATTAAAATTAATGATGAAAGGCAACACAATACTGATTGTAAAAATCTCTGATTAATTGTGTCAAGTTTAATAACTACGGTTGATAAAATCATTTGATATAAATTATTTCTCATTATACTTATTTTCTAACTAGACGGACAATCTTTGTACAGAGACCAACCATCGTACGAATTATATATTTTTTAGTTTGAAAATAGTTAATAACGTCGATTAGTAGGTTTAATTTTGTTTGCTTTCCAAACAGTCAGCAATTTTTATATGTATACTACTTACAGTAGCAAAACGTTTCTTTCATTTAAACGTTCAGAACTGGATCATACAGTTACCTGAACGCACCATTTATCATCTGCATTCAAGAAAAATGCACTTTGCGGAAAAGAATTAAGACATCCCCCCGGGGAATTAATGATCTTGCTAAGTTATCATACACAGAAGATCCTAATCTTTAAATTCAACTTCGAAGAACTATATAATTACGAAACTTTTCCCACCTAGGCGTTGCGATAAATCAAAAATTAATCTGACTGTCCTTTCCACACAGGTATTATCAGAGAGTTCGACCTGCGGCGGTACGATCGCAGACGACGAGGCGGAGATGACCGTGAAACCAATGCAACCTCTTCTGCGAGGCTACACGCCGGGTACCCGAGGTCTCCAGACCCTGCCAAGCAGAGCAACAACTCGACAATATACAATTCTCCACTCGACGTCCCATCATCACGTTGGACACGACTACGCGGACATTGACATCGCCTCAGGTTACCTAAGCGACGGGGAAGTTCTTCGCGGTGGAATGAACGTTACCAACAGGACACTCTCCGATCTTTGCGATGGCTACATGTCCGAGAGCGGCGCCTCTCTTTATGCCCGTCGGATAAATCCATCCTATGGACACGATCACGAGAGGTAAGTGCACGACATTTGTCGAGAGTTGAAATAGTCTGCGAAATTCGTCCCGGCACGAATTCAGATAACATCAATATAGCGTGCTATGACTAATTCCCAACTCTCTCTCTCTCTTTTTTTTAACTCCCTCTTAAAGTGGGACGAAAAGTATATGCGCTAAATGAAAAATATTTTCTTAAGCAGATAATTCCAGGCAAGTGGAGAATCATGCCAAGTGTTGATAATCACGAATCCCTTTGTTCTCCCAAACAAGGGTCGATAATAGCCGCTTTCGATGTAATCACCATGCGTAGAGTCTCGGATTAAAATAACAGATCTTGTATCTTCAGTCTTAGGAAACCCCCAAACGAAAATATTCTGCAAATTAAAAAGTTTGCAAAACCTCGATACACTATTACTTTGCACTTTTTTTTACTTATCTTTCACGCAACATATTTATGATCTTTTCAATGACTATCCTTGATGCTATATACTGACCCAGTCTAGAGCATTTGATAAAAAATGGGTTAATTCGTTCGGTTTTGTAATATTAATCATTTAACTTTTCGTAATTTGCGGAATTATATCGAATTACCCCAAAAATCCAGTCATACGTTGTCATGCGTGTATTAATTTACCCTTCAGTCTTCGTCTTGAAGCAGTACTGAAATCATGTAGATTCGCACGTGCCGAATTGTTCGAAATTCATTAGGTATAAAATTGTGTTTAATTATTAAATCGAAAGGAGAATTCCTTTTCAAATATGTATGATAATAAATTCGATCAATAGGAAGGTATAAAACATAAAAAGTTTATGTCATATTTTAACGTTTCGACGTTCCAATTGTGTGGTTTACCATCCTCTTCAGGCAGAATATTACAATTTAGATTACATTGCAACTAGTCAAAATTAAAACAAATTTCAATTATTTTTTATACCTACTATTTTAATAAAATTTTCCAAAAGAATTCTATTATTTAAACAAAATTTTAATAAAAATTTAACAGAAATTCAATTACATACTTATCAATTTTTTATAAATTTCTACGAACTAATTCAATTATTTTTAATTTTTTGATGAATTTTCTCGAAAGAATTCAAATATTATAAAGAAAATTGAAAAAAATAGTCTGAGAAATTCAATTATTTCGAAAAATTTAAATAAAATTCTTTTAATAATTCTATTACTTAAAAAAAAGTTGACAAAATTCTTTACAAGATTTAGTTCATTAAATTGCAGGTTTAATAAAATTTTCCTTTACAATTCAATTGTTTTCAATACATTTCTTCTTAAGAATTCAATTATTTTCACAAATAATACATTTTTTATGTGAATTCAATTATTTAAAGGAATTTGAATAAAATTCTTCGCCAGAAATCAATTATTTTCTTTCTTGAGAATTCAATTGTTTTTAAAAATTTTAATAAAATATACTTTATAAATTTGAAAAATTATAATAAAATATACTTTATAAATTTGAAAAATTATAATAAAGTCGGTCATAGAATAAAATTATTTTCGTGAAATACAACATTTTTCTACAAATACAATTATTGTCAAAAATGTTTGTAAAACTCTTCGAAACAATGCAATTATTTTCGTAAAAAATAAAATTCTTCTAAGCAATTCAATGATTTAAGAAATTTTAATAAAATTCTTTCCAAGAATTCAATTTTTTTTCAAAAATAAACATTTTCACAGGAATTCAATTATTTAAAAAAAAATTTATTTTAATTCTTTGTCAGATTTCAATTATTTTCAATTTTTTAATGAAATTTAATTATTTTTAAAAAGTTTTTTAAAAATTCTGAAAAATTCAATTATTTAAAAAAATTTGAATAAAATTGTTCACAGGAGATTAATTATTTTCATAAATAATAATATTTTTCTCTGGAATTCAATTATTTTTACAAATAAAATTCTTCACAGGAATTCAATTCTTTAAAAAGATTTTTAATAAAATTCGTTGCAAGAATTCAATTATTTTCGTAAAAAATAAAATTCTTCTAAGCAATTCAATTATTTAAGAAATGTTAATAAAATTCTTTCCAAGAATTCAATTTTCTTTTCAAAAATAAACATTTTCACAGGAATTCAATTATTTAAAAAAAAATTTATTTTAATTCTTTGTCAGATTTCAATTATTTTCAATTTTTTAATGAAATTTAATTATTTTTAAAAAGTTTTTAAAAATTCTGAAAAATTCAATTATTTAAAAAAATTTGAATAAAATTGTTCACAGGAGATTAATTATTTTCATAAATAATAGTATTTTTCTCTGGAATTCAATTATTTTTACAAATAAAATTCTTCACAGGAATTCAATTCTTTAAAAAGATTTTTAACAAAATTCGTTGCAAGAATTCAATTATTTTCATAAATAACAAAACTTATCGCAGAATTTCAATTATTTTTATAAAATTTTAAATAAAATGATAGAAAATTGCATTTAGTCATACAATTTTTTTTTAAATTCGCCAAAAGAATTTAATTGTTATTAAATATTTTGATAAAATTCTTCATAAAAATTCAATTTTAAAAAACCATGCAATCACTGAATAAATTATTTATTTTTGTATTTAAATAATTGAATTCTCGGGAAAATTTCTAATAAAAATTGATTAAAAATCAATTTCAGTTAAAATTTTAAATTTTAATTGAATATTAAAAACATTATAGTGTGAATTTTTAGAAATAATTGAATTTTGAAAAGAGTTAAAATTAAAATCTTTTGAAAATTTGAATTTTTGGTAACAATATTCTTATGAAATAAAAAATAAAAAAAAAAAATAAAATAAAAAAACTCGGAGTGATCGATTTCTTCATGTTTTATTATAATATTCTCATAAGTTATTGAATTTGAGAATCTTAATTCCTATAGAAAAATATGATTAAATATTTATTTAAAAAAGAAGTTATTTATGTTCTTCAGGGTCAAGGAAAAAGTTAAAATTTTGTGTGGAAATCATGGAAAAGTCAGGGAAAAACAAAATTAAAATTTTGTGGCAACCCTGTGTAATATTATTGCATATTATAATTAACATAATTTAAATTAATCTACTTGAACAAAAATATTTATTTTATTATAAAAAGAGTTAAAAATCAATATTGTAGATACCAGTTTCTTTAATCAAATGACAAATTGAAATTATTTTTTGATGGATCAAAAAAATTATTTTTCTAAATTTGAGTAAAATTTTTAAATTATTGTATATTGAAAAGCAAAATATGGAAAATTGAAGGACAAAAGTTCAAAATCCAAGACATTTAAGGACATTTTTTCAAATTCCAGGACTTCAAAGACCAGTAGACACCCTGTTTACCTTATAAACTAATTGAATTAATTGCTTCTTATTAATCGACAATAGCTACAATTGTCAATTGCATCCGAATACTATTTAAAAAGTGGAGACTAAATATCATAAGCATATCAAAATTTTGATATAGCAAATGCTTGACAGAACTACTTTTCTTTTTATCACCAAGAAGAGCCAAAAGTCTAATGAGGTTGTAAACTTTTTTTTTGATACTTTCAAGCTTCATTGAAACTTCCAGCTTTTTTCCCCTTTTTCTTGCTTATTTTCTCATGTATATAGTTCGCTGTCTTGTAGGTGAGATTAATTTTGAATATTCGTTCGTTGGCAATGGACCGGATACGACACTAGACAGTTTACGGGGTTCGGAATGAAAATTGATCGCGATTCTCTTTGGACCAGCGAAATGTAGGATGTTACTCTTGTTGTATACGCAAGCGGTCTTTAATTAGACGAAATTTGTGAGGCTGATTCCTCCACGTATGTCGAGAGAGAGACTCACATCGTATGCGCACGTCCAATTAATCAAACCTGTCAGCTAACTTTGGTTGTGATGGCCCGTTGAATTAATTCGTTCGTATTAACTAAATCCTCCCTGGGAGCGCTTAATTAACTTAGAAGTACGTGACATCTTAGTTGAACCACGTAAAGCTACTGATTTTGTTTTAGTTTTTTTTTCAAATATTAATCTTGTTACTGTCACAGCAGTAATTAGATTAATTACATCCACGAAAGCGGAACACGCAATTATTTTACTTTTCTTGATAGTTTATTTAAAGTAGCGAGGAAAATTGATTCTATGTTAGTAATATTTACTTTACATTTACTTATTTTTTAAATAATTGTTTTTCACTGAATTTGAGATTCGTTCGTCTGCAATCAGTTTGAACGTGATATTCCGTTGGATGTGAAATATAACGAATAAAATCATATATGGAACGGTATATAAAATACAATAACTCTGATTATTGATACTTCCTTCTTCTCTTTAATCAAACTTGGAGGGATTTTGAAGAAGAGGATTGATATGAAAGAAAGTCACTGACGGGAAATAGAGGAAATAAGAATTTCCGAGTGGGTCATGCAAGATAATCCTGATTAGATCAGCAAAAGGATTCGAAATCTTTCCTCTTCCGTTTTCTGAATGAGAAGAGAAGTCTTCCCTCTATCGTATGGCAAAGGCAACACCACCACATCATCCCTTCGGCAGAGGGAGTTCTTTTTTTTGATATTTGACGTCACTTGGTGCCTGGAAGCGTTGTTTTCGCTGAGCTTGAAAACTCCCCTTTTACGGTTGCGTCCTAACTCGATCGGAGAAAAGCAAGCCGCGTATCATCCGCTTGAAACCCGACGCGCTTTTTGGAAATTCAATATACTCGCTCACACACAGGCTTTCTCTGCCCTCTTTTCTAACCCCTCTCTAACTCCTCTTTTCTTGTCACCCTAACTTCCAAGAGTTTCCTTCCAAGAGTCCTTGCATTAAATGCGAGCACACAATAAAGACAAGGCCGAGCATATTTGAGCTATTACGTATCATTGTGGGTGGAAACGCATTAACGAAAGCAAAAAGAAAAAAAAGGGATTCTTAAATTCCACTTGACTCGAGAGCAATCAGATGGTTCTGAATTTCAACTCCATTTAATTTTATTGTTAGTTCATTTAATTGGAATTCAGTCGGTCGATCGAGTATTGGGTTTTGAATATTATATTATTATTAGCCTATGCTAATAAACGAAAGTTTCAAAAATACTTGATTAATATAAATAAAGGATAATATTGATAAATAATATTAATATAAAGAACGAGTTTCATCTCTTACGAAATGCTAAGAAAATTTACATTTTTCTGTACTAATAATTAGTCTATTTTTACTAATTAAAATTTAGAGAGAAGATTCCAGGAAAATATGGTGCTATGAGGGTCATAAAGACCACATGGGAAAAGTCCTCGCAAAAAATACTTTTCCTTCCGCGTCTTATTTGAGTATTAAATCTTAAATGAATTGAGATATCGAGCTGGAATTTCTCGTAATGTTTATAAAAAAGACAGCAAATTTATGAAAAGTCTTCTCCTTATTTACAAGTAATTTCTAGAAAGTAAATAACTATTAAAAAAAAATTAGTTTTAAAAGTTTCATTTTTGGCAAAAGTGCCAGAAGATAAGGTGGTGAGCACACAGGCACTGAATTTATTTTTCAGTAGTCCGGGAAGTGGCGCCCCTTCGGGATTATGTCGAACTAACAAAAGTACTCAAATGGTCCACATTATGACTTTATTCAAAATTATTTTCTCACTAAATAATTATGGTAAAAATTAAGAACCAACTGTATACTCCTATTATTTTTAAATTAAAATTAATTAATAAATATTTGTCGCAAAATAAATAAAATATTTTGATACTTTTTTTTAGATATTTGAAACTAAAAGCTACTTTTTTCTATTTTTTTGAAAATTTGCAATGCTTTAAATTCCATAATAGTTGGAATAAAAAAATTATTTTCAAAAGTTTTAATAAAATTCTTAAGAAATAATTCAAAAATATTTAAAAAATGTTTTGGGACCGTTCAAAAAATACGTAACGCTATTTTTCGGAAATTTGGACCCCCCCCCTCGAGTCCCCCATGTAACGCAATGTTGTATACATTAGCGCCATTTTTTCTGCTGACCGTAACAAATAGCTTGACCCCCCCTCCCCCCTAAAGCGTTACGTATTTTTTGAACGGCCCCTAAATATAAATTAAATATAAATTATATTTATAAAACTAATAAATTTCTCGAAAAATGCAATTATTTTCAAGCTTTTATTAAAATTGTACAAAAGAATTTCAATTATTTTTAAAAATTTGAATATAATTTGTTTATTAGAATTTAATCATTATTGTCTATACATTATTATCAACTAAGTTTCTTAAAAGAATTATTTATATATTTTCAAAAATGTTAATGCAATTCTTCGTAACAATTCAATTATTTTCAAACAATTCCAATAAAATTCTTGGTTGAAATTTATTTAATTCCGAAAATTTTATTGAAATTCAATTATTTTCAATAAAAATTAACGAAATTAATTTATAGATTTCACTCATCTTTAAAAATTGTAATACCTGAACTCTTTATTTTTTTTGAAAAAATTGAATTTGTATTTTTACAAATTTTATTTTTTTTTTTAATAAATCGTATTCATTATTTTCATAAATAAGAAAATTTTCATAGAGATACAATTATATTTAATTAACCTAATTTAATTTAATTTCTATAATTTTTATTACAATTTTAAGTAAATTCTTCGAAAAATCTAATTGTTCTTAAAAATTTTATTAAAATTCGTCGTAAAAGTTCAATTATTTAAAAATTTGTTGATAAAATTCTTAGAAAGAATTAAATTTTAAGAAATATTCAAATTCAATAAATTATTTTCCTTGTGTATTTAAATAATTGAATTCTCCTAGAACTTCTTAATATAAGAATTGAATTAAAATTGAATTTCAGTTCAAATTTTAGATATAATAATTGAATATTAGAAACTTTATAGAGTGATTTCTTAGAAATAATTAAATTTTAAGAGATTTTTAAATTGAAATCTTTGAAAATTTTAATTGTTGTAAAACTGTAATAATATTAAAAATATTTATTTTGAAATAAAAATGATCAAAGTTTTGAAGAATTTTATTTAAAAATTTCAACAACAAAAATTATTGAATTTTGTAAGAAATCATTTGAAATTTTTAAAAATTTCAAAATGGCTTTACATTAAACATTAAAAATATTTTAATTCCTGTAGGAAAATAATTTAAGGTATTTAAATATTTATTTTAAAAAAATTATCCTATTTGTTAAAATAGGATTATTAAATGGATTATTTAATTATTTAATGATTATTAATTGATTATTAATTGATTATTTAATGGAATATTAAATGCCTCATTTAGAGAATTATACCTAATTTTAACTCAATTAAATTAACGAAGTTAATTAATTAAATATTTAATTTTAATTAAATAAATAGAATGTATGTAATTTAATTTGGAAATTATGAAAAAATTGAGTCGTCAAATTTAAATTTTCGATAGTAACATTTTTACTACTTTCTACTTTTTTGCTACTTTTTGTAAAATTAATCATCGAGTTCGAATCCTGTTTCAATTCAACTAAACTAAAGTCTAAACGTGCGTAACGATGCAATTTTATCATTTTGGAAAAACATTTGTACCTGCTTTGAAAACTTGGGGCAAAGGGCTAATTACACACTTTCACGGTAATGACACTCGGCGCTCGTGTCATTATTTTCATACGGTCAGATCTACACCTTCTTTGTGGTTTTAAGGACCTAGGTATTCAGTTTGAGACCTCGTCTTCCATCGTATACAGTTGTACTTGTTGTAACGTTTAACATCATCAAATACGTTTCTTTGGGAACCGACAAAATTATACACAATTTTACTATAAATTACATTAATTGGAATTTTAAACAACCGTTTCCACTATAAAGTCATCAATGGCAAGTTTCTTGCAAGAAAGGTAAAAATCTACATTCACTATAAATCATTATGACTTCATAGTTTTAGAACACGTGCTTTGCACCAACTGTGACGTCATAATGATACAAATGCTCTTTGTTTGTTTTGTTACATTTTATTTTATAAATAATAAAAGTTATTTTATCCATTTTCATAATTGTATTAAAAATTTATAATTTTCAATTTCAAAATGAAGTTTGAACCTTAAGAGGAATAATATTAGATTCTTGAATTTGGCGTCGACTCTCGGGGTCTTAGGGAATCAAAATGTTACTAAATTTAGTAACATTTTGATTCCGTGACTTATAAGTCACGGTTTTCCTTTATCTATAGTATTCTATAACTTTGTAGGATATTTTTCACAGTTTACAGCAAGAAATTAAACAAAATTAAAAATATTTAACTTAATTTAATATGTAAATTACTTCTGACATGAGTGAAAACAAAAAACCAATCAGGGGAATTATGAAACAAAACATGCAACTTTTTAACATTTTTCTCCGTCAAACCGTTAAATTGTCTATAAAAATTTTATTAGACTTTCTAAAGTTTTTTTTCTATTCTCAGCGTCAATGCCAAATTCACGAATCTTAATTTTTAAATTGCACGGAGTTATAAAACTTTTATCTTTTAATCGAAAAATAAAGAAACACTTTTGGAAAATTTCAAAAATTTTTAAAGAAAAACTGAATATTCAGGGCTCGAATTCGTTAAGATATTTTTCATTTTAATTAATTATAAAAATAATGAATTTATAGAAGAATTTTAGTTTAAAAAAAATAATTGAATTTCAGAGAATTTACAAATTATTACATAAATTTAATTATTTTCAAAAGTAATAAAATTCTTCGCAAAAATTCAATTATTAAAGAAAATTTTAAAAAAATTTTACGCAAACATTTAATTATTTTCATAAAGAATTTGAATTATTTTTTATACAATTTTAATCAAGTTCCTAGAAAAATGAAACTATTCTTAAAAATTTTATTAAAATTCGCAAAACAATACAATTATTTAAAAAAATTTGATACAATTCTACGAAAAATTCAATTATTTTCATAAATAATGATTATTAAATATCAATTCAATTATATTCATAAATATTGGAATTTTTTACCAAGATTAAAATATTTTCATAAATTATAATTTTATAGTGAAACTCATCGCAGAATTTAAATTATTTTTAATACAATTGTAATCGAATTTATCAAAAAATGTAATTATTCTTAAAAATTTTATTAAAATTCGCCAAAAAAATCAATTATTTAAAATTTTGTTCATAAAATTCTTTATGAGAATTCAATTTTTAGAAACATTTAATTATTCAATGATTTATTTATTTTTGTACTTAATTAAATACTTAATTTAATTGAATGCTTCTAGAATTTTCTATTAAAAATAAATTTAAATTTAAATTTTATTTAAAATTTTAGATAATCATTGAAAATTAAAAGCATTATAGCGTGAATTTTTAGAATTAATTGTATTTCGAAAAGGTTTCAAATTAAAATCCTTTGGAAATTTGAATTTTTTATACTTTTAACTGACAATTTTTTAGAACTAATTTTTTTGAAAAAAATTAATTGAATTTCTTTTAAAATTACTTGGAATTAAAAATTTTTTAAAATATATTTAATTGAAGGATTTGCTGAATAATCGAAGTTTGGTAAAATTGAATTGTAAACAAATGAATTTGAAAATTCTCTACAAACTTTTGCAAAAATTATTTCTTTCGAAGAATTTTAATAAAATTTTTGAAATTAATTACATTATGCGAAGAATTTATTCAAAATTTTTTATTAAAAACAACTGAAATCGTGTACAAAATTTTATTAATTAGGAAAATAATTGAAGTCTTGTAACGTATTTTTATTACAATTTTTTTTTAATAATTGATATCCTGTGATGAATTGTATTATTTACTAAAATAATTGAATTCTTTCAATGAATTTTATTACATTTTTTAAAAAAAATAATTGAATTTTTTTGAGAATATTCATTAAAATAGTATATTTTGAAAATATTTTAATTTCAGCGAAGAATTTTATTATATTTTTGAAATGTAATTGAATTCTTGCAAAAAATGTTTGAAAATAATTACATTTTTTGTGAAATTCATTTAAAATTGCTTTAAAAATAATTGAAATCTTATGAAAAATTTTATTATTTATAATTTTTTTTATTTTTTTTATTATTTATGAAAATAATTGAATTGATGTGAAAAATTGTATTATTTCAAAAATAATTGAATTCTTGCGAAAGATTTTATTAAAATTTTTGTAAATTTATTTTTTTTTTGTAAAATTTTATGGAAATGTAAATTATTTTAAAACATGAAGATAGCGATCACTCCGAGTCTTCGACTCGGAGTGATCGTTATCTTCATGTTGTATAACAATTTTTTATAAGTTATTAAATTTCAGAAGGTTTAAATTTGAATTTTTTAAAAATCTTAATTCCTTTGGAAAAATAATAATAATGATTAAAAATATTTATTTAAAAAAGAAGTTATTGGTGTTTTTGAATAATTTTACAATTTATTGGAGAAATTCGTAAGTAAATGTAATGGAACATTTTTTTGAGTATCCAATTTGAGAGTGAATCGCAGAATATTCTTTTGGGGTCAGGGAAAAATTGATGAAAATTTCGTCTGGAAATCAGGGAAAAGTGAATTAAAAACAACTCTCTTTTGAATCAGTTGAAAATCATAGTTTTAACTATAACAATCAGTGACTGACTTTTTGCTTCTAAATCAATTAAAAATAACCGATTGTTGTTTTCTTTACATGACAAAATATAATTTCTAGTTTTGAAGTAGGTTCTCTTATTTGACTCCGTCTGGTTATATTTTTGTTGGCATTTGGTCCGTATTTGTTAATTTTTGGTCCTTAAAACACCGTACTATGGTTCGAGCCCTGAACTTCTAAGTCTAGAAAAATTCAGTAAACTATAGAAATATTTTTTCCCCTTTCAGAGTTAATACCTATTCAATCATAGACTCATCATCAAAAAATGATTTTGTGAATCGTTTCGAAAAAGAAATGGAAATAAAATCAAGACACAATGTCGAATGCCTGTTTGGGAGTACAAAAATTTCAACATTCAAGCCACACATGAAAATCCCCATTTCAACAGTCTATTTAATCGACATATGTAAGGCACTAATAACCGAACTTAGGGATAATTGCAACGTTTCAATCGAAGTCACCGATTTGAGTACATTAGTCGTGGTAACCGTTCTTCAAATAGAAGCAAAAGTGAGATTAGCGACGAAATCCAGTGTTTTTGGTACAGCCGACGATGAACTTGACTCTCGAGTTGAACGCACAAAGGACACCCTCCTAGTGTCCATGTTTCCTCTATCATTCTACGTCGATCAAATTGGTAAAATTAACATTCAAGGTCAAACGATTCTACCCGAAGTCACTGATCTCAAATACGAAAATCTCTCGGATTATGCAGAGAATTTGGGATTAAGGACCTCGCCTCTCAATGTTATTCCACTAGCGGTGGGAAATCCTCTAACTGGTGTCAAACAATCGTTGCGCATCGTTGACGAAGCGGGTGCAATCAAGAAAGGAATTATTAGGCCAAACGACAAGGACTTTTCGTTAACGACCGAGTTTCTCGAGAATCCGAATAATTTCGACTGGACCAGTTGTTTAAAAATCGAACAAACTCTGGATGTTATTTCTAATTTCGATGAACTCAACAAGCAGTACTTTAATTTTATCGATAGGATCAATGAGAGATTTCTGAATGTTTTCGTTGAAGTGGATTATGAGGAGGCGTGGGGCACTGCAGCGCAATTGGTTACCTCAAAATTGCCCGATTTCGAGCAAAATATTACTATTTATAAGGTATGGTGTACACGATATGTGAATGATCATTATCTTGAAGTTGGAGGTTTACTTCGTTTTGGATTTGATCTTGAAGCGGCTCATGTGTCTCGATCAAGAGAATTTAGATGTTGTGAATCATTCATCGAAGCACAGTCACCATTGAGGGAGTTTGTTAAGAATATTTCGAAATACTTGCGTAAAAATTTTAGAAAAAATAATTCAGAATGAATTTATGTAGTGGAACACAGAAAAAACGATTATCTAATTTTTAAGAAGAACCTACTTAAATAGGAGCCAAGAATATTAAATTAAGTGGGGCCACTTAATTTAAGTAGGGAATATTCTTGGCTCCTATTTAAGTAGGTTCTTCTTAAAATTAGATTATCGTTGTTTTTTCTGTGAATTGTAGAATTTTGACGTGTTAGCAAAATTTTGTTAAATTGAATAAATACATTTTTATTATTACAAACGTTACGATTTTTATTTCTCTTTCAAGTGTTAATTTGGGTTTTTGTCTGTAGCTATGCAGAAGTTGGGGAAACTAACAAAGTTGTCCTAGAACAGGTTTTCTGTTTTTTAAGAAACGCAAAAATTAAAGAGACTTTTCAAAAGTTTTTAAAAGTCTCAAAAAGTGTTAGAATTCTAGATGAAGGAAATTAGTAATTTTAGTGTCGTTTTGGTATCCAAATTCTCCGAAAATTAATATCCGATATTGAGTATCTTCGCGGTCTTCGCTAACTTGAGAACCCTACACAGAATTAGAGGTTAGTTCCAAAGTATTCCGTTAAAATATGCCGAGTAAAAAATATTTTGGCTAAAGTATATTGTTAACAGAAAAAAATAATCTTGTAACCAAAAAGTCTAATGAAACAGAAATTCATAGTGAAAAAATATTTTTTTAACTTAATTTATTAATTAATTAATAATTAGTATTTATTAATTTTTTTGTTATTACAGCTTACAGGCTTCGTACTCGATAATTATTTTTAAAAAAGTAGCAAAAAGTAGCTTTAAGACTGAAAAAAGTGGTAAAACTATTGCTGTCGAAAAATTAAGTTTGACCACTCAATATTTTCATAATATTTCTAAATTAAATTACATTCAAAAATAAAATAACTTTCTTATGATAAATATTCAAGTACCTATTTATTGTTCCACAAGAATTAAAATATTTTAATTGATTTCAATGTAAATCCATTTTGAAATTTAAGTATTTCTAAAAATTTCAACTGTAATTCCTCCAAAATTCAATCATTTTTCTGTTCAAATTTTAAAATAAAATTCTTCAAAACTTTAATCTCTTTATTTCAAAATAAAAATTTTAATATTATTACAGTTTTACAACAATTACAATTTTCAGAGATTTTCGTTTAAAAATCTTATGAAATTTAATTATTTCTAAAAATTCTCAGTAAAAAACTCTTTTTCAATATTTAATTATTATCTAAAATTTCAACTGAAATTCAATTTTAAATCAATTCTCATTATAGAAAGTTCTACGAGAATTCAATTATTTAATTTAAATACAATAATAAATAATTTATTGAATATTCCTTCTTTAATTCTTATAAAGAACTTCATATTTTTTTTTAAATAATTGAATTCTTTCGAAGAATTTTGATAAAGTCTTCAAAAATAATTGTATTTTTCAAAGAATTCATATTTAAAATTGTACTAAAAAGTGTAAAAAGTAAACTAAATTAAATTAATTAAATAATTGGAACTCTGTGAAAATTTTATAATTTATGGAAATAATGAATTAGAAACATAAAAAAAATTTACAAATTCAATTGTTTTGAAGAAAATATAATTTTGTATGAGGAATTTAATTAAAACTCTATACTGAAAATAATTGAATTCGTCTAAAATGTTTATCGCAATTTTTATAAATAAAAGAATTTCATTAACTAATTTTGTTAAACATTTTAAAAATACCTAATTAAATTCTATCACGAAATTTTTTTTTAAATTGTATTGAAAATGATTGAATATTTCCGAAGAATTTTATAACTCATGAAAATAATTGAATACTTGCGACCAATATTATTTAAAAAATTTTGTTAAATAATTGAATTCTTTTTTCGGAAAGTTTTATTGAAATAGTATTAAAAATAATTGAATTTCGAAAAAATTTGGAAATTAATTAAATTTCAACGAAGAATTTTATTTAAATTTTTGGAAAATACTTGACTTCTTACAAAGAATTTCATAAAATTTTTTAAAACAAATTATTTCCAAATTTTTAAATAATTGAATTGTTTTGACGAATATTAATAAAATTTTAATGATTAATTGCATTTTTCGATGACTTCATTTAAAATTGAATGAAAAATAATTGAAATCCAGCGATGAGTTTTACAACTTATAAAAATAATTGAATTTTTTCAAAGTATTTTATTAAAATTTACAAGAGTAATTGAATGTATGAGAAGAATTTTATAGCTTATAAAAAAAACTTGAATTCTTGCAACGAATTTTATTAAAATTTTTAAAAAGTAATTGAATTTTAGAGAAGTATTTTATTATTGTTTAATATAATTAAATTCTTGCGAAGAATTTTTTAAAAATCTTTTTAAATAATTGAATGTTTACAAAGAATTTTGCAAACATTTTTTTTAATTCAGAATTGAATTCTTTTGGGAAACTTTTTATTCAAATAGTAAATATAGAAAATAATTGAATTTCGAAAAATTTTTGAAAATATTTTAATCGTTTGAAAGAATTTTATTAATTTTTTTGAATTATTTCTAAGCATTTTATTAAACTTTTTTAGAATAATTTTTTCATTTTAACTATATTAGCGAATTAAAAGTATAGTAGCAAATCGTAAAAAAAAGTAGAAAGTAGTAGGTTTTAGTAGATGAGTACGAAGTAACTCAACTGTAATTAAAAGAAAAAAATGTTTATACGAAGATTTATAAAAAAAAATTACTAGGCTTATGAAATTTGCCTAAAAGCTTCCTTAGAGCAGGCATTTCTAACTTCCTGAAAATATTCTAAAAAGCTTCCAGAAATTTTTCATATTTTTAGTGATTAGCTTAATCTAGATCAAAATTATTTTCATCTTTCAAAAATAAAAAACAAATAATCCTTCTTTGTATAATACGTCAATTTTTGAAATAATACCCCGAGCCAGTGAATAAGCAACAATAATAGAAACATTTCTCAAATTTCTGAATAAAATTGTGGAAACATGGAGAAATGATAAGCAAGGTCTTTTGTCATGAGCGATATATACATATTGTGTCGTGAATCCTTGAAGCTCGTGAAATCGCTTTTGTATAAAAGGTTACAAAATATATATAACTTCCCGAATAATAGTTCTCGTTGGCAACAAAAAAAAAAAAAAATGAAAAAAAACGAGAATCCAACTTTATCGAACGGATGTGCATCTTTGAGTCTAGACGTCTTGGCACCAAAAAGTGATAACTGCGAGAAATAAAGTCTATTTAGTGGCAATTGGTAACGCTCAATGATAGAATACTGGAAAGTCTGCTATTTTTCTCCCTTCATTTGAAATTGATTTTCCAATATCGAGTAAATGGAATTTCAACATTGTGAATATATATTTTTACTTTTTTAAATTGCTGAATCGAATGTCTAATTCAACAAAGCGTAAAATTTACTATCGAGGCAAGTTCATATTTTCTCTAAAATTTATTATAAATTATATATATATATATATATATATATATAATTTTGATAATAAATAATTAATATTATTTCATTATACCATCGGCTAAATTGATGCAATAAATATTTACATAAACAATATAATATTATGGAAGAGAACAACAAAACGTTCATTATTATTTTAATTTTAATAAACATGTTTCTGCCTCAGGAATAATTTATATAGTCATAATTAAATATTTTTTAATAATAATAGTTATTAAAGAGATTAAATATTATTATTAATAATAAAATTTATTATTAAATATTAATAAATTAAAATTTTTAATTAAAATTTATTATTTAAATAAATATTATTGATAATAAATAATAATATTTATTAAAGGGATTAACTATTATTATTAAAATATATCTTACTAAATAATATTAAAGGATTAAAATCTTTTTTATTTTGTTATTAAACTTTCTTTTTTTGAATTCAATTGTGTTTAATTTTCAAAGTGAAAAAGTCGATAATATTATGCGTTTCGTGTCAACGTAATAACAAGAGAAGGTGTCAGATGGAGCCAGTTCCAGGAAGGAATCGAGAATTATACATATATAGAAGGTGAATGATCCGCAGGTTTCCTTTCAGGGACGTGAAAAGAATCCTCTCAAAAATTTACATTAATTAAAGTCTTGCATTTAATTTTTTTACACAAGTTTTTTCAGCTTCAAAATATTGCATTTAAGTATTCAAATCCTTTAGAAATTCTCTTCCTGTACTTAATGTTTTTTTTGCGTTTGCATAATTCTCTTCCATTTTTGCTTTGTTTTCATTTTCAATTTTTCAAGTTTAAATAATTGTTTCTTATTATATTATTATTTATTTTAATTATATTATTTATTTTTATAATAATTTATTTTTATAATATTATTATTATTTATTTTTATTATTATAATTAATTGTGACTCAGTACACAGAAATCTAGGAAGCAAACACTTATAGGTTATATGTTTATGATGCTTTTACCTTGAATAATGGATTTCTTTGAAGGCTTTGAAGTTATTTAACTTTTGAACGGCGATATTTTTTTTTACTTCTTATAAGGGGAGGTTTTGTCTACATTTTTAAATATATCAAGAAAATGACTTAAATCTTCCATAAAATTATTTTTATAATAATTTTTCTTAAGAAGAATTCAATGGTCATAAAATAAAAACGGGTCAGAAATTTTTTTGACCCTTTCTGAATTTTTATTCTTCTTAAAAATTGATAGATTTTTAAATTCATTCGTAATTTTGCAAAAAATATTTTTGTAACAAAAAAAATGCCGAATAAAAAAATTGATTTTTACTATTTTTGAAGCATTTAAAAAAACGGTTAAAAATACCATTGTTATTCAATATTTTTATTTGGAAATTCATGTGTTTATTTTGCTAATTAATTTCAAATCATAATTTTATCATAATTTTTTCATAAATTTTATTTTAAAAACATGATTTAAAATTATTTAGAAAAATAAACAAATGGATTTCCATATAAAAAAATTATTAACAATAATATTTTTCATTTTTTTCAACCTAAAACCAAATATTTTGAAAGAAATGCTAAAAAAATAATAGAAATTCCTGTGAAAATTTTATTATTTATAAAAATAATGGATTAAAATAGTAATAAC